ACACACATTCTCAGAGAGTGAAAGAATCCCTTTGCACATGTTAGAAATGAATATTTGACTACATTTAAGGCCTGTGCATGAACATATTGTTAAATTTATTTTTCTTGGATTGGCTAGTATCTAGTTAATGATTCTTAGCTAACACACACACAATCCATATGTTCAAGTGTATTACATGGCGTTAGTCATAAATGACAAAATAGAAACCACCATTATATTTGGTTCTTTATTATTCAGTTTTCCTTCTATCCCTGCAAAGGTATATCCAAATGTTTGAGTCAGTGATTTAAACATAACAACTTTTTATAAAATATTGCAGTAGCATCACTAAATCACTGATAGATAGATTACAATAGAGTCTATTAGAAAGCCTGTAGAGTTGATTAATAGTGTCCAATAAGTAACTATTTTCCTTGGTGTCAGGCTGGAAATTGATTGCAGCTCCTGCTTACCAGTCCAGTCACATCAAAGGGCTTCTGAAGAAAAGCATACAGGAGTAGGGCTTTATAAGGAGACTGTCATTTGAACATGCTCAATGTGCCTCTTTAGCAAAGGCAGATAAATGTGTTCAGCAGAAAAAACAGGAAGCCTTGTATATTAAGTCACTGAAGGAGCCTAACTTTGTAATTGCATCTACAAGAGCTCTGTAGAACCAAGGACAAGACAGCCAGATCAACTTCTTTGCTGAGGTGCAAATCATTGCTCTGAAACATGGCATTAAATGAATTCTTTACATGAAGGTAAATAACACTTACATTTATAACTCCCTGTTCATCTGCTTTGAAAAAAAGAACAAAGGCATTTTACTAAACTGAACACAGTGCTGCTGACCTAACCAAAATACTTCAGCTGTTGAAGTTGAGTGGTTAAGAGTAGTGTGCTTCAGCAAAAAGCCTAACATATGTAAAAGGATTGTTCTTGAAGTTGTTAGTAATTTTTCCTATATTGACCATAGGATTTTTAAATACAAGTATTTTAATGCTGACTTTGCCAGTGCAATCTGAGATGGATTTACACTAATCTTGGTGCTTCTGTTCCTTTTTTTCAAAACTGTGATTTACTAAGAGGGCCCCTCTGATCACAGGAATTACTTTACAGTGCAGGCATTTGCAACTTCAGTTGGGCTGTTGCGTAGATATTACTGATTTCTCATGCAGCAGCTAAATTGATTTCATCTTAGCAACGATGATAAATGAGCTTTTAATAATTTCTTTTTGGTAGCAGCATATCACTTCTGTAGCAAATATATGCAAGGAAATAACCATGGTTAGCAATTATGTGCATTGATGAAAAGGTGAGTTCATTAATCTCATGATCAGCATCTGCTCTCTAACCAGGATCATCACCAACCTATAATACCAAAGGGCCAGCTGCTCAGAGTTAGCACAACCCCATTGAACACAAAAAAGCAAAGCTGATTTACACACATCGCAGACTACAACATACTTTCAATGTCATTTATTGATTAACCCAGGCTTTTCTCACACCCATCTTAAGCATTTAGCTAACCACTTTGAGTAAGTATATATTGGAAATATTGTATTCCCTTCAATTTATTGCATTATAGTTTAGGTTTGATTGGTTGCTATTTTTTAAATGAATGATATACTCTTGTTGACAGTACATGGAAATCAGTGGGAGTTGCAGGGGCCTGACCTTTCTGAACAGCAGGCCACTTTCATTTAGTTGCTTAGAGATGGATTTAGATTCTTAATTTTAGGTTCTCAAATTTGAAAATTCAGACCCATTTATTTTGGATGGACCTGCTGCTGTGGGGAGGGCAGACAAAGGGGACAGTTGCCCTGGAGCCCAGCGATTCAAAGGAGCCCATGCTACTGTGGCAGCAGCTGCTGGACTGCCTTGCTGCATGCTCCCGGCTGTGCTCAGCAACACAGAGAGCTGCCTGGTGGCCTGCATGGTGCACTTTGGGTGATTCTCCAAGCTGGCTGCCCCAGGCTCTGCCCTTTTTGTCTGAGCTCCCGCCCTTTCTGGGAGCTCAGAGCCCAGATCCCCTCTCCCCCCCCACACACACCTTGCCCAGTGGCCTGTGGAGATTGTCAGTGCCCCTACTGATAGGGCCCCTATTTTAAATTGCCCAACACTTGCCATTATATAGATTCTTGTGACCTTTTCTTTTTTGAAGCTTTCCCACATCTATCATTAGCAGCACACTTGGGAATCTGACAGAGGGATAGTCCTTAGACTGTGAAAGTGCCCTGTCTTTGTTCAGTTAAATTCATTCAGCTATTGCTGAGATATAAACTGTCAAAAATCACATTTTTTCTTCTCCCACTTGCATTTCTAAGAAAAATGTTGGCAGCCAGCCAAAATAATTACTAGAAGAAAGCATTCTGAAGCTGGGCTAGCAGCACTGCCAATTCAGCAGTAGCACACATTGTACTGAAACATCTGGGAGTTTCTTGAACAGCTGTAGCAGTGATATGCCTCGCAAATAATCCCAGTGACCACTGGCCCACTCTTTGTGCACCACATGGGGAAGGAAGAGATCCAGCCCATATGTAGCCCCACTGGTCCAACTACCAGCCCAACCAGACACTATGTATAATGAGAAAGATGGGTGAATTATCCCTCCAGCCAAGCATAGGACCTACACATGGCTCCAGCAGTTCATAACATTCTTTGGAAACATCGAGTGGAATAGGAGCTCCCCTAACTCCAAAGATTAGGGTGGGAATCCCTTATGCTTAACAATCTATCCCTTAATAGCCATCTAAAATTAAGTGGTTTCCTACAGTGTGTGTGAACCCTTCCTGCTTAATAATCTATTTTAATTTATGTTTAGTTTAGACATCCTGGTTGGCTCTGAGAAGTTTGGAACCAGTCTGTTCCAGCAACTGATGTTGGTCCAATAAAAGATATTAACTCTCCTAGCTTGACTTTCTCATATCATGGGGCCAACTCAACAACAACTCCGCAAAAAATGTAAAAGAAAGTCACCTTTGTCTAACCAATAGCTGCACCCACTTCTTATTTCAAAGGCACTGCCAGAGTGGATAGAATTATCAATAGGAAACTTCTATTGATGATTGACTATGATTTGTGAATTTCAAAATGTGCAGCTACAACAGAGGATAACAATGCATCTGATTTGGTGGCTGATGGCCAAACTGCTCAGTCTCTATTGGAAATAATTAATGGAAACAAATCAGATATCTGAAAAGGCAATGCACAGTAACCTGTTGGAGAACACTTTAACCTGCCTGGGCACACATTAATGGAGCTCAAAGTCAGCTGTTGTTTCAGACTAATTCCACAAGCCAAATACACAGGGAAGTGATGGAACTTAACTTCATTTACAGGTTTAGAGCCCATCACAAAGATATGAATAAAGATATTACCTGGCTAGCACATTACCTTTCACGTCCTAATGATTTAAAAAACAGAACAATGGGTACCTAAGAACAATTTGCACCTTCTCTATCAGCTTCATGACTACAGTTCATCTGTAAATTTGACACCAACAGTTTAGGATTAAACAAAGACTGTGAATGGCTAGCCAACTACAAAAGCTGTTTCTCCTGTCTTGGTGTTCACACCTCCACATCAGCTGCTAGAAGTGGGCCTCAGCCTCCCTGACTGAATTAACCTAGTTATCTCTAGCCTTATTCTGGCCTGCATATTTATACCTGCCTCTGCAAATTTCCACTACATACATCTGACAAAGTGGGTCTTTGCCCACAAAAGCTTATGCTGCAATACATCTGTTAGTCTATAAGGTGCCACAGGACTCCTTGTCGCATGAACACTCTATTTCACCTTTTTTACCTTCCTTCTTTCCCCATCTCCTATTTATTTTGAAACTGGACCTTTAATTCTCCATTCATCTGAAGCCGTGAGTTATACCCACGAAAGCTCATGATTCCATCTACATGTTTTGTTAGTCTTTAAGGTGCTACTAGACCAGTGGTACTCAACCTTTTTTCATATGCGACCCACAGAGCCAGGAAAATTTTTGTCGAGCTAAAAAAAAAAGAAAGAAAAGAAAACGCTGGGAACATTTAGTTGCGGCCATTTTAATTTAAAGTGCCAGTCCACTCCCCTTCCACTCCCCTTGCCCCCGCTGTGTGTATGATGGTAGCTGAGCCAGAAAAAAAAATGCCAGAAAAAAAATGCGATCCCCCTGCAGGAACACAGCCGGGACCCCCTTGGAAGCAACTAGACTATTCGTGGGTTTTTTATGTTTTTCCAGTTACAGACTAACTCAGCTACCCCTCTGAAGCTTTTGACCATACTGTACTCATTTCACTTTGGGGGCAGATCTATCCCTCTTGGAAGCAACTCTCTGGTCTAAATTAGTTAGATCCTGTAAATGAAGCAGAAACAAAATAACTTGTATTCAGTCAGAGGCATTCATGTTCACTGATCTATTACCCAGCTGGGTTAGTTCTGATGTTTAGTGTCTGTGATGGATGGACAATAATTCTTTGTCTCATTTGATTAGCACTAGAGCATGATTTTCAGCTCTGGTTCCCTTCCTCTTGTCTCTTGTTTCTCTTCTACTGCAGACCAAGTTAAACTTTGAGAACAAGATATCTGAAGTTACGCAAGTGAAAAACTGATGCAAACAAGAGTAGTAATTTTTCAAAAAATTGCTGCCTGTGTCTGACTTTATTTCCAGTTTCCTTTTGTCCAAAACATTAAACATTTCAAATGTTCATGACGATTTCAGTTTGCCAAATGGTGTTGATTCTCACTTGTCTCCTCATGCAGCTATATTTGAAGGGGAGGAGGGCAGAGTTGGGGTCTAGGGTTCTAATTAAAAATACTATTAATATGGAATTAATTGAATTTTTCCATGAAGTAGATGATAGCAAAACAGATGCTTCCCAAATAGCATTAGTCAATTATGTGGCTCTTACATAAAATACATACTTCTCAAGAATTAAATAGGAACTCTAAGCAGTTAGGTAGGAATTACATTAAACATTGAAAGCTCAGTGTTATCTGACCTTAATTTGTTTATCTTTCATTTCTTGTAGGCTGTTTCCAGCTATGTAATGTTTTTCGAACACATGACATGGAAATTGACCAGTGCTTACTGGAGTCCCTCCCTTTAGGCCAACGCCAGCGGTTGGTGAAGCGTATGCGCTGTGATCAAATAAAGGCATATTATGAAAGAGAAAAGGCTTCTCAGAAACAGGAAGGACATGTGAAAAAGCTGAAACATGGAAAGAATCATCGAGTTCATTTCAACCTTGCTGATATGATACAGGATGCAATCATACATCATGATGACAAAGAAGGTATCATAGGCATTTAACAGTAATCTCATGATTTTTGCCTTTGTGTGGCTAAAAGTTTGAGTCTTGGGGCATTTTTAGACTTATTTTTGAATAATAGTAGCTATTTATAGCTGGTATGTATTATGTGCTTTGTAATTAACATGCAGTAGATTAGATAAATATGTATTATATGATATAAAACAGATTATGGCATATAATTTATGTCTCTGAAGAAAGCAAATAGTGTTTTGGAGGCTTTAGGATGCCACTGTAAGATAAATGTGTTTTCAAAATCATAGATTTTTTTTTTAAGGCCAAAAGGGACTATTTTGATCATATAGTCTGACTTAGTGCATACTGCAGCCATAAAATTACCCAGGTGCTTAGTAATGATTTGAAAAATATTTTCCCTGTATTTAAACAAAGCTCTTAAATAAATAATCTTCCTTCAAAGCTGAGGCTCTGGCTGGGGGCAATGAAATGGTCAGCCATTTTTCCAACAAAACTAGAGTTACATCCACACTGCAAGCGCGTTCTTTTGATCGTCAGTCTTTTTGTGCAATTGATAATCCTCATTCTATGAGGAAGAACGCATTTTGCGAAAGAACTCTTTCGCAAAAAGGTGTGTGTGGACAGGGAAGAGGGAGTTTTTTCGGAAGAAGAAGGAAGAGGAAAAAGCACAGGTGCCCTGGTGGCCATTCTGTCCATAGCAATCACTGCTTACATGCAAAATAGCATCCAGGCAGTGTAGATGCTCTCTTTCGAAAAAATGCATTGCTTTTACAATACGCTTTTGCAGTGTGGGTGCTCTCTTATGCAAGAACTTTTTTCAAAAATCTCGTCCAAAAAAGGCTTCTTCTCGTCCAAAAACTACTTCTCTGTAGTTTAGACACAGCCTGAATGAGCATAACCACACCTAGGATTCCTGTTCTTTTCTAGCTAGCTGCATTGGAAGCAGTGGTTCAGACCCTGCTTACATAAATAAGCAATCAGTCTGCAAACAATTTGAAGATAACAAGGTGATAAGTAACCGTTAGCATGGACTTTCAAGAACATTTTGAGGGAAATCTTGATTTGGATAACAGGGATCACCACAGTGGCATACAACTGCTCTAAGGCACGGTCTTAGTCATTGGAATATCACTACTTTCTGTATTAGCCAACTCTACCCTGCCACGTTTGGCCTTATTTTGCCATATTTCAAGATGGTCTGTTGGACAGGCTTGAATTCTCTCTTCCCACTCGCTCCTGAACCTTTCACTCTACGCTAGTAATTATGTATATTTTTTATTGTTTGAGAGCATCAGTTTATGCATTTTGATTTATGAACAGACATAGATAGAACTAGGGATAGTTGCTCCTTCAAGTGAGGGATTTAGAAAGTCAATTGTTAAAATATGCAGTTCCCTCCTTCAGTCCCCTAAACAGTGATGCCTGTGATTTAAAAATTAACATCCTCACCACTCCCCATCTTCTCACAGCTCCCTTCTCCCCAAAAGCCAAGCAGAATAGTAGATGTGTTTTGCAGCACAGCCTAAAGGTCAGATGCTTCTGGCTATTTAATACTTTTACTGAATGAATGAGTATATACAGTTCACTGAGTGAGAAAAGTGAAATCCTTACAGGCCCCTAAAAAAGCTGAACCCAGAGCAGAACAGAAAATTCAGCAGCCACTGAAAGTGAACAGTGGCAGCATATTAAAAACTGCAAGGCAGGGCAGCATGGGAAAGGTGAAAAATAGGCACTAGTTTGGTATCCTATAACTGGGAGGAGCAGTATAAAGCTCTAGAACACTTTCTCAAAGCAAGCTCCAGGCCCCTCCTTTCTGGGTGGGCCTCCTCCCACAGAGACCAGTCACCCCTGAATCCAGGCAGATATTTGGCTTTCTTAACCCCTTTGTACCTGAATTGCTGTAGCTGGAGAGAGGAAGAGGAATGTATGCACTACTGTCTGTAGAATCATGCACTTCCATGGTCCTTGTGGAGTCTGTCAGCCGACGGTCAGGGCTCCCTATATCTGTCCCTTAAGACCGGCTGAAGTTCTTTTAAATTGTGCTTCGTTCTGTTACAGCAACTGAAGGAGTCAGGTTAAAACTTAAACAGTTACAGGTTTATTAAAGAAGCTTATAAATCATATGGTTACAATGGCTATTGCTCTATTTCTTAACTACTAGCAAAATATAGATACTGCTAGCAAAATATAGATCTTAAAAATGGTTACAAAGAAGATAAAGATAGAAAAATAGAAATAATGGTACCAAGTAACAGCTTACTCTTTCTATGTGTACACTTAAAACAGAGGACAACATCCAGGTACAATTTTTACCCCCTTCTGTGCCTCTCGACTCCAGCATGTCAGGCCAGGGCCAGTCCCTCAATTCCTAGGAAAGACAAAAATACGAGGTCTCCCATAGAACCTCGGGAGGTCAAACACCTAACCCGACCAGCAGGTAGAGGGTAGAATGACACTCCAAGTGAGTGTGTGCTTATATACCCATGGGGTCACGTATTTCTCTTTCTTGTCTGTCATGCCAAATGGGGCTGGTCTGTCTTTTGTGAGACCAGTTCTTACAAGGGAGTTGTGAACTTAATTTACACTTGTAAGAGAGATTTGAGATGATTAAATTGGAAGTACGGGACATTGTTTTCTCAGTGGGAAATTCCTCTTCCAGGGACTGTGTGTGTGTTCGAATCAACATAGGTGCCAGCCGGTGGCAGTCTCGCATATCCTGATCTCTCCTCATATCTATGTTTCAGCTTCTCAGGATCAGATGAGCCAGCATAGACTATGCTGATTTTATTGCTCCTTCTCTGCCCTGTATGCTTCAGAGAGGCAAATAAGATGGATGTGATGGAGGCGGGCTGTCTGGCCACAGAGTCTGATAATGATACAATATTAGAATGAATTACAGGGGATTTCTCTGAGTTTACTAAAGTAGTGACATTGTAAGCATGTCTGTTTTTCACCCAGAAAAAGCTGATTATTGATTGTGTTACTTTATTCTATTGTGTTCAGGCAGTAAATCTTTTATTGTCAGCAATCTGTCATTTTAATATATAATTTATTTTTGAACTATTTTATATTGTGAAAAAACAAAGGCTATCTCTCCAACTTTAATACTGTTTTATTAGCAGTAATAAAAGGTGTATCTTTGAGAGTTAGTGCAAAATCACTTCATTTTTATGGGTTTACATATTGCATAGCTAGCATATTCTTTGTAGTAGGCATAAAAAAGAATACATGTCATTCCAAAGAGCAAAAAAAAAAAAAAAAAAAAAATCCAGTGTGTCTTTTTTGAGGGGATCTCAGAGTCTGGGATCCCTCCCATACCTCAGTGACTGCACAGTTATTTTTAGTCCCCCAGCATTAGGTCTGTGAGCCTAAATATATTGATTTGGGCTCTGGGACACAATACAGTGTTTTGTTTTATTTTGTTTTTTGCTGTGCAGATATACCCATAATGGCTCCAAAAAGTAGATTTGAGTGACATTGGTTAATAGGTTATAACAGAATGTCTCTGGTCTTGTGTGATTGTCTAGGGCTCGGACCCTGCCACATTTAGCACACACAGCGCCCGTGCAGTGCTCCCTGCAATGTGCATACTTTTACATTAAGTAGGGTAATCATACATGTACAGAGATATGATATGTCCTAATATAACCAATAACCAGTTACTGACCATATCTGAAGTTATATTTTACTGTATTTTTATTTTTTCAATGCAAAATTGAAGATTACCAGAGCCCAAATTAGGATGAAACTTTATGCATTAAAGGCTCACTAAATGCATCAGATTCAGCTGAGGAGTTAGTAGAAACCTTCTTCTCCTTCTCCTTTTTTCCAATTTAGGTGCCTTAGAATTTGTCAAACTATATTTCTTTTTATCATGAACCAGAAAAACTCAGAGCAAAATTGCTGAGTTTTGTATTTTTTTTAACCCGAGACCAATAATTCAGGAAATCCTGTCCCTCATCCTTTACCCATAAAAGCCAAGTATTCTCTCTACATTTTGTTTCTCTCTCAGGGAGCTAGAAGACCTGCGATTTGCAAAAGCCCAGCACACAAAAACATGCTTTCTTGAAGTGAGATAGCGGTGGTTCAGCTGTTCTTATCTACACTCATGCTCTTCACAGAGACAATCTGTTTCCCCATCTCTTATCATTGTAATGGAGTTGGGGGAAGGCGCCCATATAGATTTTGGCCCACTAATCTGCAGAGTCCTGTTTCTGTGACAATGACTGTTTCCCTAGTTTTGAGAGCTGATGTTCCACAGAATGCACTACATTATTTGGGAATCACCTGAGCAACTATGTAAAACTGCTTGCTTCACTCTATGGCATAAAACAGTATCCAGAATCCTCAAAACTTATGTAAACTTCTCTGAACTCTTTTAAATAAATGAGTGCTAGTTTTCATGGTAAAGAAAGCCAAGACTAGATTTACTTGAGTTTGGGTTTCAGCATAAAAAGTTCACACAACTTTAATATTTATAAATTGAGCAGATCTGGATAAAATGAATGGCCATCATGAATATCAACAAAAACAATAGGAGGCTGGAGAACTGATTTAAAAAGGAAGAGAACATGAACTAGATGTGATTATCTTCTTCAACACTTAACCATACTACCAACCACAGCTATCATTTGCCATTTAGTCTCTTCCTGTGTTGCTGCAAGGGCTTGATGGGCCAAAAATAAAATGTTGAAACAGACTGAATAAATCCAAGTAATAAGGGGTTAACCTCTGGCCAGCCTCCACCCATCAGGTATTGAAATTTGATCGTAGACATTATAAGCCATCTGGGGAATGACATTCACTGGAATGTCTTGTGGCATTCTAGCCACATCTTGGAAAAGCGTAATATGCCAGCTGCAGATAATGGCCCAGGAATCTGTAAACCAGAGCAACTGTAAACATCTGAATTATGAATGAATGCTTACTTGCACATCAAAGCATCAGTGCCTGGTGGTTTGTGTTCACAGCACATTCCATGCTATGATATACTCTGCAGGAGGAGAACA